ATTTCGAACTGCGGTGCTGTGTTTCATCTGTCTGCATGCCATTCGGGACGTGCACCGACTCGGCTTTAGGGGATAATCTGGATCGAGTCCGCTCCCTGCCTTCCTCGTCAACGGTTTCATGCCCCCGCGACTGCTTTCTTTTCTTGGGAACGACCGGTTCTTGCCCGTTCGATTGGGATATGCTACGACCTTGGCCCAGCCCAACGTTTTCGCGGGGTCCTCGATTCGACTTTGTGTGAACGCGTGACGAAGATGCCATCACTACGGACGCACTAGCATGTGTCTCGACGGTACTCGTTCCTGCACTACACGTAGGTGCAAACAAAGTAGTATCTGAATGCCCTAAGGGAGCATCGCCTCCAGAAGCTCTGCCATGGTCATGCTAGCCGGATGGAGAGGGTGCAACGATGGTGCTTTCCGCAGGCACCCTTGATGCTGACTAATGTAGTAACGCTGCCATGTAGTTCCGATCGTCAGGAGAGAGTGCAGCTTTTCGTTTGCCCGTCAGGTGGAGGGCGGACTTGTAGTATACGTTTACAGCTGCGCGATAGGAGGGTTGGCCGTCCAGGGTGGAAATGAACGCTTCAACTTCTCGGATTTTCTATCTGGGGAGTCAGAAGATTCCATGCTTCCTTGCAGCATCGACATACCTTGATCATAGCTAACATCGTGGATATAGACACTGCCTCCGGGCAAGTTTCGTCACCTGCCGGAGCAGTTGTGTGACCTCCACGCGCTATAGCGTCCGCCATCCTTGCTGATGGAGCGGATTTCTATTCGGTTGTGGTGCTACGATGCAACAGATGGGTAGACATTGATGAAGCCTGACAGCAGACGATCAGGTACGCGTGTCAGGGAAGCAACGACCCTGGTCAGCGCACGGGCCAGTCGGTCAAGCGAGATAGTCGGCGGCCGCCGACTATCTCGCTCAACTCACTACTTGACCTCGAAGATATCCTTCTCAATGGTAAGGAGAGAGACATTAAAGGTACCATCGCCTAAGCCGAAGATCAAGACCTTACGCTCGCCGGAGGTCTTCTTGTCGAGACCGTAGGCAATGGCAGGTGATCCCGAAACACGGTAACCTCTCGCAGCGTTTCTATACTAAGAACAATCGTTCAATGTATGCATCAAACAACCTGCGCCCCATTTAGGAATATAGCAGGGTTGTGAGTAGATAAAGCTTGAATTCAAGGCTGCCAGACTATGGCGGCAATGGGTCCCAAGCCCTTGCACAAGCCCCGTGAAATACCTTCTAATTCAGATCCTCTGCCTATATACCCATCAAATGATTTGGCAACACTAAGTTCTACTAAGTCCTATCTAGCTGTTCACCTCGGCAGTCTATTTGGCAGAAATCAGGCAAAAAGCGGAGGGCTTCAGCCTCTTTGGATCGTTCCTTACAGCGGGCCACTTTTGTTTTAGCACTTGACAGTCTTGTATTTCGGCCTTGGACTTTTTACCGGCAGTGGTACGCTTTATAGTTTACCTTTCAAATACAGACGAAACAGGAAGCGCAATGTAGTATAGTCATACCCAGTGGCCAGTACCAGGGTTGAAAAGCTGAACCTAACGAGGCTTACTGTGATCTAGACATGATTTGCGGACTTCCGATCGCTGACAACTTTCTTTTCGACAGCCAAAAGGTTCACTAGCCGTGAACGTCTATATCACGACCAAGGGCCTCCATCCACGTCACTACACACTGCGCACCCGAGTTCAGCTTCGAACTGAACTCTACCAACGATGGCGCCCATACAAACCCCCTCCACGACTAACAATAGCTAATCTCTCTTCCACATCGAGTGCATCGCACAATATGTCGCGCTCCCACCTCTGGCCCTCAGCTCACCACTCCCGGCCCTCTGCGCCTCGATATTCTCCCCTCTCCTCCTCTCCTACTACCCGCCAGCGCGAGGCATCGTCCTCTCATACTTGAACGTGCAACTCAGCGAAGAACCACTGAAGCCGCGATCCTCGAAATCCTCTAAGCATTCCGCCTCCACAAGCGCCTCATCCACAGCGCCACTGCTCATGCGCATGGTCGACGAATGCAGCAGCCCGTTCACCTGGGCGACCGCCGGCCTGCTGATCTGGCGCCCGGCTAAGAACGCCTGGATCGAAGGCCGCATCACGTACTAGGCGTCTACGCACATTACGCTCTCGTACCTCAACGCGTTTCCCGTTTCCGTGCTGCGCGAGCACATGCCGCGCGGGTGGTCGTACCAGTCCGCGCAGACGACCTCGTATAGCATGACAGGTGGGAGC